GACAGATGTAAGCTGCGCAAAACATGGGACACGTCTCCCCGAAAGGCCCGGAGCCCCCCGCAGGAAGGGGCTGAAGGAACGAGCTCCAGCGGTTCTGTTTGGTGAACGCGTAAAAGCGCAGATTGAAAAGGCGGAGGGAGATCCGGGCGGGACGGACGCCGTGAACCACGTCGAGGACCCAGCTCAGCAAAGTGCTGGGAGGTCAGAGGCAGGAGGAGCCGCGGCGGGGGAGACACGACCCGGCGCCGCGGGCCCCCGGCGAGGGGCCGCTGGGTCTCCCCGGCCTTGGCCGTCGGGTCGGCGGCATGACGCGCGTAAAGCCCCGAAATAGAGGAAAACCGACCACCACCCGCCGTCACCTCCCGACGAAGCCGCATTTTAGACGGAAGACCCGCAGGATCCTTGGAGCACAACCCCGAGGACAGGCGCTGAGAACGTCCTTTCGGGGGACAGCCCGGGGGAGACGCCCTGCGGCACCTGCGCAGGTGAAGGGGAAGCGCTTCCTCCGCCCCCTGCCCGGCCCCTGGGGGGCAGTGCTAGGCGCGGGGCGCGGGGCTGAGGGCGGGGCGCTGCAGCCGCTTGTCCGCCCACCTGACGCCCACCCCCGCCCTGTGTCCAGCCCACAGCCCGAGGGCAGCCGGTTCCCACGGGCGCGGGTGAAGCTCCGGGACCTGAGTTTCTGCGGGAAACGAGAAAGCGTCCGGCTCCACGGGCGGGAGCAGCGCGTCCGCGGGACCGAGCCCCGGAGCCGCCTGTCCCGCGGGCTCAGCGGTTCAGCGTCGACCCCGAACCCAGACCCCCCAGGGAGGCCCGGTCAGGACAGGCAGCCGGGGGACGTGCCTCTCCACCCGTCTCCCTTCCTCTCTCTCTAAAATCAATAATTTTTAAACAAGAAAGGAAACTGAAGGGCGCTTGGTTCGCGGTGTGAAGGGGAAACAGCGCCCTCTGCCGCCATGTCCGCGAACATGCTTTGTCTCCGTCGTTGCTCCGTCTGAGGGGACGCTCTGTATTTGTCCGTCTGTCTGTCCTGTCTAATCTCCTGCTGAAAGCGCACGTTCCGTGGGAACAGTTCGGTTTCTTTTACTTCCGTTCACAACCGTTTCTGTCGCAAAGCGGGTCCCTCAGTAGATGGACGGGGGACGGATGTGCCTGTAAGTCCCCCCGAAGCCCGTTCTTTCCCGAGGCTGCCGCAGGTGGAGACGCCCCCTGTGCCCTCCCGGGTGACCTAGGGACAAACATTGTGAAATCCCCGGATGAAAGGAAAAGGCAAAGAAAAACAAACAAACCCCGCCTCGGGCTGAAACCACAAGGCGAGAGCGCCAGGCTGTTCCCAGGCTGGCAGCGCCCCCCTGTGGACGGGAGCTCCAACGACACCAGCCTCCCGTCCTGGAAGCGGAGCTTGTCCCCAAGGTCCCCTCCCTCCCGCGACGTCCCTACTCGGGGCAAGTCCACTGAGACCCAATGACTAGAAGCCAAGGGACCCAGAAGGCTTTGCTGGTCAAATGAAATAGTGTCTCGGGGGTGAGCGTCGGCTCAGTTTCACGTGAGGAGGCAGCAGCTCCCTTTCAGGAAAACGTCACCCCATCTCCGCCGACTGCAGAGCTGCCCCCTCGCCGGGCGTTTGTCCCAGCGGGTAGAGGGGTGTGTGTGTGGAGGGGGGGGCTGAAGGGTCCCGGGTTCTGTTCCGTCCAAGGGCACGCACCTCAGTAGCAGGCCGGATACCCCGCCCCGGTCGGGGCGCATGCGGGAGGCAGCCGATGGTTCTCTCTCTCACAGCGATGTCCCCCCTCCCCTCAGACAAAAAACGTCCTGGGGTGAGGAGTGAAAAAGTAAAAAATAACAGAAAATCACATCGCAGGCCTCAGACGGCTCCCATTAGAAAGGCCTGCTTGAGATGCTGTCCGCGGACTAGTTCCCAGGAAGCTGGATTTGGGACGTTCCCGCCCTTCCTAGAACTGATCAAAGCGACTCTCTGCCTAAGCTTCTCGTGCGAACGCAGCTCATGCTGAACACGCGTCTCGGGGCGTCTGGGACTGCAGCGCGCGGACGGCCTCCCGGGGTCCTCACAGCTGTCCCGGGTGAGTCTGTGCTCACCTTCAGCTCCGCCAGGTGTACACGCTGTAAATAAGCGAGCACGGCTGTGACCCAGGAAAACTTCAACACGGGCAGCAGGCCAGATAGCGGCCTGATTCATAAACAGGGCTGAAGTCACATTCAGACATAAATTAAAAGGTAAACATTTCTGGAAACTTATGATCTTGGTAAAAAAGTGTTTAATTTTAGAAACTCTGATCCAGTATACCAAATAATATAAGACCATGGAGAATTATATCATTATAATTCACAGCCTTAAATAGACACTTGCATCAAAAAAAAAAAATTATTTTGGTATTTATTTCTAGGCCACATTTCCCAACCATAATTAATGTATTATGTATTATAATTTAGGATACTTATGGCTGCAGTTTACAAGGTATCCAACTAAAATAAACGTTTGCAGTAGAGATTTATTTTTATTTATTTATTTTAAAAAAATGTATCTTTATTGATTTCAGAGAGAGGAAAGGAGAGGGGGATAGAAACATCAATGATGAGTCATTGATCAGCTGCCCCCTCCATGCCCCCGACTGGGGATCAAGCCCACAACCCAGGCATGTGCCCTGACCAGGAATCGATCCCAGATCGCCTGGATCCTAGGTCAATGATCAACCGCTGAGCCACGGCCAGCCGGGGTACAGGTTTATTTTTCTTACATAACAAGGCATCCAAGAGACCGTTTTAGAAGTGGTCTCATGGCTCAGTGTTTTCAGGGCTGTGGGTCAGCTTCTCTCTTTTCTCCTCTTGCTTCCATACATCATGTTCTCAGAGGATAATGTTTAAGAGCAGAAAGTGAGGAGAGAGGGAGTCTCCCTAATGCATCCATCTCTTCTGAATGAGCACCACCTTTCCCAGAAGCCCACAGGTCCCTGGAAGATACAGACCATCCTGAGCTGCAGAGGCGGGAAATTAGCATCTGACATCTTTGGAGTCTCAGGCAAAATGCAGGTGCTGCCCACATGAAGGGGAACTGAGTCTGGCTTCTTGGGAGGTAACCAACCCCTTCTGTCTGTGACAGGGGTTATCAGAGAC